GTGTGACCTTGAGTAAGTGACTTGACCTCTCTGTGCCAGTTCCCTCTGGTGTCAGAATACAGTGAATAGTGTTTCCTCATCAGGTTGGGTGACTTTAGAGGGGCGATAGCTAAAGTACTTGCTATAATCCCAGTGCAGTGGCTCACGCCTGATATCCCAGCACTTTGGGAGGCTGAGGCAGGAGGATTGCTTAAGGCCAGGAGTTTGAGACCAGCTTGGTCAACACAGCAAGACCCCATCTCTACAAAAAAATTCTCAAATTAGCCAGGCATGGTGGCACACACCTATAGTCCCTGCTGCTCGAGAGGCTGAGGTGGAGGATCGCCTGAGGCCAGGATTTGCTGACTGTAGTGACTTATGATCGTGCCACTGCACTCCAGCCTGGGAGACACAGAGAGACCCTGTCTCCAGAAAAACACACAACAACAAAACACAGGGCCTGGGACATAGTAAGTGCTCAAGTAATCTACGTGTGACCTTCTCTGAGCTGAGGTGAGAAAGGGCTTTGTTCATAGCCGGGCGTGGTGGTGCACGCCTGCAGTCCCAGCTACTTGGGAGGCTGAGGCAGGAGAATCGCTTTAACCAGGGAAGCGGAGGCTGCGATGAGCCCAGATTGAGCTACTGCACTCCAGCCTGGGCAACAAGAACAAAACCCCGGCTCAAAAAAAAAAGAAAGGGCTTTGTTCAAACAGGTCTTGGCTGCCTCCTGGGTAGGGGACCCTCGGCAAGAGACTTAGGCTGTCTGAGCCTCGGTTTCCCCATATGTAGAATGGGCATGCCTTGGAGTCCACTCTCAAAAACAGAAACAGGAGCCCAGGACAAAGATGGCAGAGCTCACGATGACAAGTCCCAGCTGGCAGTTTTTCCACAATGACTCACCCAGACAGGGACCACGAGCCTCATTTTTCTTTCTCTTTTCTGAGACGGTGTCTTGCTCTGTCACCCAGGCTGGAGTGCAGTGGCACAATCTCAGGTCACTGCAGCCTATGCCTCCTGGATTTCAGCGATTCTCTTGCCTCAGCCTCCTGAGTAGCTGGGACTACAGGTGCGCAGCACCACGCCCAGCTAATTTTTATCTTTTTAATAGAGACAAGGTTTCACCATGTTGCCCAGGCTGGTCTCGAACTCCTGACCTCAAGTGATCCTCCTGCCTTGGCCTCCCAAAGTGCTCGGATTATAGGCGTGAGTCACTGTGCTCTGCGGAGCCTCATTTTTCAGAAAAGGAAACTGAGGTTCAGAGTGAACACCTGCCCAAAAGCCACAAAGCCTGGCACAAGGAGGAACACTTAAGTCCCCCTTTGAGAGCTCTGTCCTTGGAGGGTGCAGGAGCCTGGTGCCCTCCCATGACATAGATTTCCTCTCTGCAGATGACACCCCACAGAACAGAAACCTGACCCCAAGCTTCCGAGGTGAGCCCTGCCCAGTGTTCCTCCCCCAGCTCTTCCTCCCCTATCACCGCCCCCACCCTCCCGCTTAGACCATCCCTTCTCCCCCCACCCAGGACTCCTCTTCGTGCCGCTGGGGGTGGGGAGCGTGGGTGTGGCTACAATGGTGCTAGGCGCCTGGTTCTGGGGCCGCCGCCACTGCCAGCAAAGGGACTCAGGTAACAGCCCAGGTAAGATGGGGTGGGCGGAGTAGGCGGGAACAGACCCTGCTTGACAAAGACCCACCGCATCCCTGCTCCCGCTTTGGTTTGGGGGAAGGAGGGAGGAGGGATGAAGGCGGGGAAGCCTGGCTCCCATATCCAATACCCATATTTTTCAGAAATAGAGACAAAATTCTTTTTTTTTTTTTTTTTT